GAGTATGATGCTTTTCCTGGTCATCTCATAAAACACCTGATTTAATTTACTGTGCAAACTATTAGCCCCGGCAGTAGCTATTTCACCAGCTTGTGAGAATGTAAGCAACATCTCCTTTCCCCTGCAAAAGGTGCTTGTGCAGCTCTGCCTATCAGGAGATGGAGATATTTTTTCTTTAAACTTGAGCCTGGCATGACTTTCTGAACCATCTGGCCTAGGAACAGTACCAAACCTGATTCCAGCAGAGACTTGCAACGGTCATGGCATTGAGGCTTCCCCTACTGACACTTCTAGAAATGCGGCTGTCACAACGTTAGGTCTTCCCCAGTTTGTCGAATGCTAAAAGGCTTAGTTACTCCCAGCATTCCTTCTTCTCAGCCAGTTGTCACACAGGGAGAAAGGAGATGCATTCCTGGGTGGCTTTGAGGAAGCTCAGCTAAGTCAGACAAACTTCCTACCTGAAGTTCCTACCTGAGCTGCACACCGATGATCAACCCACAGAGCTGTGAGCCAAACCAACCACAGAGCAACTGTATGATCCCAGAGCCTTTTCTACATCATTTCTTGTGAGCTGTGTCGCTGTGTGTGTTGTGGTCTGTTAGGAGTGTTAGGCACCGCTGCTTTCCAGGGAGACAAAAAGTTAGCGACGTATGTGTGTACCTTTGCAGTGTATGGACTGAGTTTTCTGCCTCCATTTATCTTCCTTATTACATAAAACAATTATGTAAATGCCACAAAAAATGTATTAAAATATTAAACTTGGTGTGGTGGTTGGTGCACACCTTTAATCCCAGCACTTGGGAGGCCAAGGCCTGTGGATCTCTGGGATCAACCTGGTCTATATACCAAGACTGCTCCCAACCCCTGCAAGCAGGAAAATGCCCTCAGTGATTGAAATTAAGCCAAGGGTAGTTGTGGATGCAAGAAACACTGGCTCTAGAGAGGAGGGGGAAGACAAACCATCTTTAAAGCTTGCTTGGGCTGTATAGTCATTATTCCGGGCAACTTGGCAGAGCACTGTGTTTTGCTAGAAAGAAAGAAAAATATGTAGCTCAGTGATAAAGAACTTGCTGAGCATGTGCAAGGCCTGGAGTTGGTACCCACCAGGAGTCATCAGAGCAGATGGACATAGGAAGGAGAGATGGGCAGGTGGGGATGAATGGTTGCCCCGTAGGCTGCCTTCTTACCAGTTTACTGGGAACCTGAATTATATTTTTTCTCTTAAATATCACGATGCCCAGCACAACAAACTCAGGGGAATTGGGACTAGTTTTTCCTCCCCTTTTCTGTCCTTTTCCATTAGTAAGGTCTCTGCATTATTACACATGTTCTGTTAGTGACATTTCAGAATCCAGGTCCTAATGATTTCAATGTCCTTGTAACACAGGAGACAGACTTTGTCAGTGGTTGGGGGAAGGACAATGTGGGGGGAAACTCTGTGAATAAAAACATAAAAACCTAAAATTGACGCCTGGCTTTCGATTTGTCAGGTCTGCTGAGAGGCCCTCCCTCCACCATCTTCTTTTGTTCACATGTGGGTCCATCTCATCTGTTTTATTGGATGTTGTGAGGATTTGAGATTCGGCATGAGATAACCCATGAAGCTTCTACCAGAGACTTATAGGACTCCTAAAATCTCCACCGCAACTGAGGGGAACGTGTGGTTGTGCACACACACAGTACCTTAAACAACGTTTGTCTTTAAGAATACCTCACCCTAAGACACAGTCTTTCCATTTCTAGGTATTTAGTTATGAGAACGGAAAGCATGTTCATGGAAAGAGCCCTTCATAGAAGTCCTTAGTGGCTCCGTCATATCCCCAAACATGAATTAACACAAGAGGTGCTCGTCAAATAATGTCTGGCATTGCTCCCCAGAATTCAGGGAGGGCTGATCTGTGGCTGCAATAATGCTGGTAAATCTCAGTGAGGGAAAGAAGCTGTGGGGAAGAGACATGTCGGGCGACTTGGTTTATGAAATCTGTAGTATAGACAGGTGATTGCAGTCGGGCGCACCTCAGCAGACTAGCTTTAAAGGCTGATAGAAGAAAACTTGCAGTAGTAACTGAGCTCTCAGAATGTGTCTATGATGGGTGACAGTCCAGCCAGATTCAGCGTTTAAAGAAATTACTTTCCCCCCCCCATCCACAAAGCAGAGGAGGCAGAAAGTTTAACTAAATGGATGGTAGATTATCAACCCTGCAGCTCTGTTAAAGTGGATGAGTGTCTGCCTCTCTGGTCCTTTCGGAAGGAACGCAGAAGCTTTTGCTTTCGAGTCCTGAGAGTCCCGAGTTCAACACCTCGGTCTGAAGGGGAGCTGGATCTGTTTGCCTGGAGATCTGCAGAGAGCACAGAGGTGCTACAGGATTTCAGCAGCATTAGGTGTTGGATGCAGGACTCCAGATGAGGAACTTCTTTTGTAGTTTGTAACCACACATCTATTCTCTTTACTAACATTTTCATACTCTGGTAAAAACATATTGGGCTAAGTTGGGCAAAGTAAGACAAAGTGTCCCATGTTTTAGCAACAGAAATAAATATGATAAAACTGATAGGTTTTCATGAAATCACAAAGGCCCTGTGTATCAGGATTTAGAAAGATAGCTCATGGCTTTTACTCCTCGTGGGAAGGCCAATGTTCTGAAGTGATGTTGAGATGATTTTTCCTATTCATGGGGAATCCAGGATTTTAATGTCATTCTTGCTTGGAACCAACGATGGACAGAGTAGACAGAAGATTATTGTAAGATTCGCAAGGTATTTAAAAAAATAAACTTTGTTCCCTAGGAAATGAGTTACCATGTGATTGAGATAAAATGAAAATCTCGAGTCACAAGAGATATTGGCCTCTTGAAAGAGGTTGTTTGAAGGTATGTAGGAAACAAACGATTGTCAGGCCCCAGAGTGGCTCAGACCTACAGTGGCATAATCAGTTCAAATGCAAATTTCAAATGTTTTGGCTTCTCGTTTGAAATTGCTTCAGCTATGGTCAATTAAAAAAAAATCACTGTCTTTCTTTAAGACTATATGCTAAACACAATGATCAAGTCAGAATAGGATAAGTACAAAAATTCAAAATGAATAGAAAAGTGTTTAATAATAACTGCAATCCATATTCTATAATTAAAGACACAGAAGCATGCAAAGCAAGCCACCTACTAAATGACAAGGTTCACAAAATTGAAATAGCAAAGTTACAGGTGGACCTACTTTAATCGTGGCTGACGTAACAAATCCTTTGCATAAAATCTGCAGGGACACACTATTAAAATAGTGCTCCCAACTTAATTACCTGAAACCCTTTTGAGAGAAAACATGGCTAAATTACAAAGCACGTTACCATAAAGCCACTAACCAAAACATATTCCCTAGTTCTTTGTAAATACGGTAATAAGTATTAGTTTATACCCGGTGGAAAGAATTATGCTAATATTTCAATGACTAAGGGCTATGAAAACACAGAAACTTAGAACTGGAAAGAATTAAGCCATCTTGAAAAATTAACCTAGCTGAACAGAAGGAGTCAATTAAAGACAAGATCCTCAAGTAAGGATTGGGTAAGGTTTCCTGCGTCAGCATTTTCTTTCTTTGTGTCTAATTCTATTCTTATTTACTCATTTTTCATACTATCCTAACTACCAGCTTACAGTTTTTCTCATTTATAAACACGATCGAAATGAACGGAGGCTAAGAAGGCTTTTTTTTTCGGGGTCATATGTACACTGCTAAACCAAGACCCAGTTTGGCCTCAAGGACCCTTCTAGGGTCCTGCTATGAGGTTTCTGTAAACATCAGGAGATTCCTTCAGCAATGAATATGCTGGCATGGGATTGTACAGAAAAATCATCTTACCTTTAAATCTATCAGAGTTTGGAAGTGATAAAAATGCAATTTTTTCTGCCATTGGATAGTATTTTCTGTTTTATAATTTGTGGAAAAAAAATTCGGAGTCCCAAGGATAGCCCGCAAAGCGGTCTAACTCAGTTTTGCCGCTAGAGGGAGACATAGTCCAGTATTTGTACCTTTTGCCGCTGCCCGGTCCTGTGTTTTTCTGCAGGAAGGTGGTTTGCTCTCAACAGCTGCAGCCACTGTTAACAGAATTGGGAGGGAGAAAGAGCGGGAGTCAAAAGCCTCCCGGTCCTGTCATCTCATTTTACTGCTTAACCCAGCCTGGAGTGTCAGAACCCATCTCTCTCTGCCTTTTCTGTGTTTTATACTGTGGGGCCAGTCGCTCCTATTGTGGTGGTCAGCCAGTGGAAGGAAGAGGGGGTCTAGGGTGGACCAGCGGGGTTCTTCCCGTTGGGGTGACTTTCTAACATCATCACTGGTGTATTTTGACAGTACGTTTGTGGTGGGACTCAGAGAGGAGGAGCTTTTGATTGCTCTTGGCTTCTTTTTCTCCTGGCGATCTGGATTTGTTTCCTCGGGCCCCTCCCCTTGTTCTGTTCTTTCTCACTCCCGCCTTTAGCGAAGTGACACAGGCGACACCTGCTCGCTTGTGTCTGATGCTGGAACTCGCACCTTCGCGCTGGTGAAGGTGCAGGCGCACCCGTGACTGGGGGACAGCAGAGGGTTCCCCTTCCTTGGAGCACGTGATGCCTTAGAGTGGCAGCGGGTGGGCTGCGAGGAGCTCGGCCGGCTGCACTTGAAGGTGGGGTCGAGGGGCTGCAGCTGGTCAGGAGTTGCTGCTAAGTGGACTCGGAGTCGACGGCGTCCAGGTGTCGGAGAGGGCACCCGCGGGGACCTGTGTGCGAGCTGCGGGAACGCGGACGCCTCGCGGGGGGACGGCGGCTGAGCGCAGAGCCGGCGAGCCTGCTCAGAACCAGTCCACACCGGAGCCTCGCAGACCTGAGCGAGCCGGGGAACTCGTGGAGTCGCACGGCGGAGGCTGCTCTGTTGAAGGTGAATCATCGCGTCCAATTGCCTTTCCCCAGAGAACCCGGGGGAGGGCGGGAGAGGGGTGGGGGACGTGTGAGCGCGCGCGTGTGTGAAAGGGAGAGACGACGCGGGGCGAGAGGAAAAGTCTTCGCTCTCGGCTAAAAGCAAACAAATCGGAGATGGAATAAGAGCGGCGATTGCTGGAGCCCGCCTGGATCCTCCTGGCAGTCGCGGGAGCGGAGCGCACCGGGCGCAGCGCCGAGGACAGCCAGGGCGACCGCGGGCGCCGCCGGGGGCTGCGGACACTTTGGTTTCCTCCCTCTCAGTCAACAAACCTTTTGATTACTTTGACACTGTGGGATAAAGACCAGAGACCAGAGACCGGCCTCGCGCGCTGCACCTCCCACTTGCTTCGGGGAGGGGACCCCTAGCTTGTATGTGGAAACACTGCCGAGACCCCCTTTAGCCTTCGAAGGAGGTAGCACCCACACCCGCACTCGGGGTCACACTCGCTCGCACACACCGGCGGACTTCAGGTCCCTATGCCCCTGGATGGTGCCAGCGGACCGGCATCTCCGAAGCGATGCATGAGCGGTAAGGCTGGCGTCGGCCCGCGGAAGCTACAGGACCATCGCTAGGTGCTGCCGCCACCGGGACGCCCGGCTGCAGGTAGGTGCGAGCCGCGCCTTCGGGAACCTTTGGGCTTTGGGGACCCCAGTGGCCACGCGAGCACCGCGCGCCCCCGCAGCCCGCGTGGGCATCTTGCTTTCCTCCGCTTCCTCGAGGGCCCGGGGCAGAAACGAGCTCGCCCCGGGAGACTAAGATGAGGGTAGATGCGGTCCCGCAGCCTGCTCCCCGCTGCCCCCGAAGACAGTGAGGACAGGGGCTGGGAAGAGGTACTACCGGAGGGGGACGGAGCCATGACAGGAGCCTTGGGGAGCAGGGTCCTCCCCTTTCTTATTTCAGAAGGCGAGAGACCCAAGCGAGGACCCAAGAGGTTTTTAATTGACTCCCTCGCCAGTTCTGACTGGTGAACATTTGAGACTTTTCATAAGGAGTTGGGGAGTCGCAATCAAGGCCGAAATCAGTGAGGACTGATGATGATCCAGGGAACGCGGCAGGTCGCCTGTCTGGAATGCCTACTTTCTGTCCACTTTTGACTAGTTCATTCTCAGGCCTGTCTGCAGAGGGTGGGCGTTTCCGTGGGGGGTATTGATTCCTCCACCTTTAACCATGTCCATCAAGAGCCGCGTTCCTAAGTTCCGGAGCCTCACCCGCTCAAAGGTTTCTTTCGCTCTGACAACAGACTCTTTATTACCGAATGAAATAGCTTTTTGTAAAGGCTACTACAAGACAGCCTTCATAAAGGATCTTTCAATGAACAGCTTTCGGGGGGCGGGGGGAGGCACAGCTGGTGGCTGCGGTGGTGGGAAACTACTGGCTTTTCGTTTCTTTCTAGGCAGATGTCTTCTACATCTTGCCTGTAGCACAGGTTTCTCTGCCCACCTGCCTTGCTGCCCCCTCCTTCTCCTAAAAGGCTAGGTGTCTACCAAGAGGTGTCTTCAGGCGATGGATGGCTCTTAGCTATTAGCAGGCAACGCCACATTTCCGGAAACTGCTTTTGTAAAGGCAAAGTTTGAGGTCCGTTGCCCTATTTCTTCTGGAGCTGCCGGCTGAGCCATCCGGTCTCCACTGGGGGAGGTACCCAAGGTTCTCTAAGAGCCCCTGGGGAGATCATACTTTCTCATTCAGTATTGCACTTCGTGGCCAGTGTTAAACCATTGCCCAAGCCTTTGGAATTGAATGTGTAGTTACCAGCTACTCCTACCCTGTGTGCTTGGTGAGTTTGTCTCATGCCAATAAGATAGAGAATAAACCACCCTCCTTTGTGAGTGTGAAACCTCCTCTTGAATTTCAAAGTCCTTTTTGGGTTTGAAAACAAACAAAAGCTCATCTAGAGCCCCAAACCTATTTTTTTTTTTTTTCACTCTGAAGAGCTCTTCCCATTCACCCAGTGTCTGAGGGTCCTTCTCTGGACAGGGTGAAATTTCAATGACTGTCAGCTGGCTGGTAATTATCTGGTTCCTGTCTGCCCAACCAGATTGTTGCAGACACCACCCTTCAGAGTGTTATCAATTAGCACCTTTAAACTGCTCTATTAGGCGAGGTAACTTAAGACAATTGAGTAATTAATTTAAGGTTTCCGTGTGAAGTAATAAAGGAGATTACTGGCAAAGAAGATTAAACATACATTTGACGGTTAAAGAATCAGAGCGTGAGGGATATTATATTCTCCCTTTCCATGTTTGCACATGTATTCCCTAACTGGTAAGTACTTTACAATTTTAAAATCGGCACCAAACCTCATACATTTCCAATAGCAGATCAGAAACGTCTGATTCTTTTTCTTCTCCATGCTGTTCGGTATCTCGCCAGTCAATTGTTTTGACCTTTTTAAAGTCTTACTTTTAAAAGCCATCAGTAACCACTTATAGGCCACCAGGAATCACACTGAAGCTTATTTTATTCTATTTCCCCAATTTCCAGTGCAAACAGTTCGCTTGTATTATCTATATCATAAGGTTTTGAGAACACTGTCATTGCAATCTGAGGACTAGGCATGGGGAGTCTTGTAAGGGGCAGATATAGTTTTAGTGTTGCTGATTCAAAACGGCATTAAAAATTTCCCTGAAAGTCTAAAACACTGATGAAAGTCGTGGTTATTTTCTTGCCTTTAAAAACGGTGGTTGAGCATGCTCAGCGACACATTTACATACAGTGCTCTTCGTTTCATGCTTCTTATAGAGTCAGGAAACCTTTGTGTCAAAGCAAATTTCTATACAATGTTACAAGTTACGCTAGAGGGGAAGGTGAGGGGTCTGTGTGTGTGTGTGTGTGTGTGTGTGCGTGCGTGCGTGCGCGCGCGCGCGCGCGCGCACTTGTAATTTTGAATTGGAAAAATGTTAGTTATTGTAAGGGTGACAAAGTGGAGAGAAAAGATGCTTGTGAACCTGACTCAAAATGGATACACTCTGCTTAGATGCTGCATTATAGTATTTACTAACCACCAAGTTACAAAATGTGATGTCATGGCTGTAAAGAAAGGTCTATTTTTAGACTTGGCCACTTTTCTCTTTTAAAAATTTATAAAGTGATAAAACTTTGGGGTGATATAACATTTTAGAGAATTTATCAGAAAAACTTAGTAGTCCTGGATTTAATATTTATAACACAGTGTTTTGATAGCCATCTTAAATGGCATTTTCATATGGAAATGTACATAGTATAGTTTAGCACCAACTGGATCTTATGGATTACCCTGAGCAGGAAGGGTAATCATTGACTCTCCAGCGTTTCTTATCATGGCTCTCAAAAAATAGTGCTGTTGGATCGTGTTCAAGCTGAGGTGTAATTGCGAACTGATGGACATTTGCTAATAAGATTTGTAATGCATGTCCCAAACGAGGACCTCTCCGAAGTGCCATTGGCTGCATCCATCGTATTTGAAAAGCTGTAACATTCAGAATGCAAACAGCTTAGTGGCCCGACTTTCAATTCTGCAGTGTTTTATTAGAGATGCCTCACTAAGTAGCATTATTTGGCAGCTGTTTTTGTTCATTGAAAATTCAAGCAGCAATGAGGAACTTTACCATCTAATGCAGTTTTGTTTTCTTGGCGAGAATCTATAAATCGAGGTAAAAATAAGCGTCTACCATAGTCTGCTTTGATCTATGCCTGATATTTACAAATGCAATTCATCAATCTGTTACTAGCAGGACCCCATCAAAACAAAGAGAAGAAATTCGTTAATACCAGCTGCTGCTGCAGCTAGACATGAAGGCCAAACTGGCTGAAACAACAGCATTTCTGGGCCCTTTGCTCGCCCCGTGTTTCACGGGATGTGCCTGCCTCTTCAGTCACTCATGTTGTGATGCCTTGGAAGAGGAGAATTTACCGTTTTCTTGGGGAATTCTTTGGAACTTTAGCTGGAGCACATCGAGCTATTTAGACATTCCATTGATAAAGGAAAGAGCGGGTATTTTAAGTTTGGAGCGCAGCCTGGAGCGGTTTACGGACAGGTGAGACTAGCGGGCATGAAGTTCGCTTCTGTTCTGCAGTTGCCATGGGACACGGGCATGTTACATAGTTTGCTGCAGGTCTGACTCTGCGCTCAGTGCAGTGTTCCAGAGTTCTCATCATGAAGTAAAACCACTCATTTTGTCTTCTGCTTCTTTTTCTTATTGAAATTTGAAGAAGAATGCTTATGCTTTCTAGAGTATGAAGGAAGTAGAATTTAGATATATTTCTTGTGCATTGCGTTTCTACATAATCTCTAGATCCATACATATGCAAGTGTTTTTAATGGTAGCCATGGAAAACATTGATTTTGTGTTAAAAAAAGACAGTTACAGCAAAGCATAGTATTGTGACTTGTGTTAGATTTCTAACGCCCATCTACTTTCAATGTGTGGATCACATGTGTTTGTTGGCTCTCACCAAGGACTGTAATAACAGACCCACTATTCACTAATTTGGTGTCAGTTTGGCAATTGATTGGCATTGCCACCAGAAAATACAGAACTTAGTTTGCTTGCAAATCAGATGGCTAGTGAATACATAAGCTGTAAGGAGAGACTTCTAATGTGCTCACAATGACCCATGTGAGGCCTGGGATATAGCTAAGGAATCAGAGTACACTTGCCTATATTAGATGAAGCCCGGTTAATCTTCCTTCAGTTTCCCAAATTATTCCTTAGGAGCTGTAATTGCTTTATGATTTTCCCTGAATGGCCAGTTAGCAAAGGTATATTTCCCTTTCCCCTAGCAATAGTGCATCTGGTCATTCAATTAAACTTATATTTGTATTGCTTTTTCTATGCAGTAGATTTTGGAAACTCCTTACTATGAGATTCAATAATGCAATAATGTTGCATTCCAGCAATTACTACGATGGCAGACTCGGTACTTGACAAAGTGGAGACAGCCAGCCAAATGCATCGCCTTTGCTCTTAATCGTGGGCTTTGCAGAACAAACCATGCACACAAAACCTAGAGAGTTCGAGGTGGCTTTGGATGACAAGGCTTGTTTTACTAAATATTTTCATATTTATACATTACTCCCTACAAACTAGTCAGTGTATAATTGCATGTATGGGAACGGGCAACTTTGTTGCTCTTTAAAGGTCATGCAAAGATTCTAAACCTTCCAATTTGCTGTGTTAATTGCCTATGCCCTCCTGTTGCTGTGCTTAACAGTTCAGAGCAGCACTCGGCTCCCTTTGGTGAACCAGGCATCTCTTCATCAACAAATACATGGGCATATTCATAGGAAATGCTTTATAGAAGATTTGGGGCAGTATATTTGTGTTCCGGAACTCGAGTTTCAAGTTGGGACAGCCTGGGCTGTGTGGAGACAGATTCTTTCTAGAGTAAACCAAAACCCATATAAAATATGGGTTTAAATAAATTATTTAAAATAATTATTCTCTGTATATGCAAATGCTGCCCTGATATTCTTTCATTTGAATCTTAGTGTTTTTTTATCTTTTTAAAATGCCTTTTTTGTTGAAAGTAAATGAAAATTGTACTTATTTATTCAAGAAGTAACTACGTTCACTCTCTTCTGATACCCCTGCTTCATAATACCCACAGTATGCTTGTTCTATTAT